GCTGTACAGCCACCGAGAGGGGCGGGTGGCAAAACAAATCCATGAGCGCAAGGCTGGCAGGGGATTTGGGGTGGGGGGTGGGGGCCCGTGGATAGGGGTTGGGGGCAGCAAGTTGGGAAGTCTGGGTGCATTGTAGAAGTGCGGGATTCCCAGATGTGGTCCGGCCCCCGTCTCTGGGATGAGAGGTTCCTCTCTGTGCTGTCTTGCTCGAGCTGGGATCCAAGGCTTTGAAGGCTTAAGTGGATTAAAGTAAATTAGCAATGTCCCTAAACCTACAAAACACACACACCCTCAGGCTTCTGACGGCCCCCAGAGTGCTGGTGGCTGTCTGGGAAGGGAGGGTCCCAGTTGGGACGGGAAGAGCGGGAGTCCAAGGGCCGGCCTCCTCGTGCTGGCGGCCCCTGGGGCGGCTCCTAATGAACCACTTCTCAGGGGATTGGGGGGGGTGGGGTGGGGGTCACTACTGGCCTGGCTGAGTCCGGGGGCAGGGACAATGGAGGGAGAGGGAATCCGTGTCCTCCAGCCAGGCTGGCCTGTGCTGGAGCAAACTGGGTGGGGCTGGGGGTGGCAGGGAGAGAAATGATGTGTTGCTTGAGTGCCTGGCGTCCTTGACACCAGTGTTGATCACCTGAAGGTATAAATTAATTGAACGAAGCTGACTTCCCACCGGTCCTCTTTCCTAATGAAAGAATGAGGCTCAGACTGACACAGGTTGTTGACAGAGTAACTAAGGGACCCCCTCTGCCCGGGCTAGCGGAGGTGGTCTGTGGGCCCGACAGCCCTAGGGAGTGGAAGCGTCTGTGCTCCTCCCCAGCAGCCCTCCTGCCTCCCTGCCCCCACCGCAGCCCGCCCCTCCCCCATCCTGACAGCTTCGTGTTTTCCTATCTATTCACCAAATTTGTATTGGGCCCCACTTGACACTGACGCAATGCCATGGGGCCTCAGAGGTGAACAAGAGTTTCCTCTGGCTATTCAAGTATCTCTTGTGGCTCCATAAATGTCATCCCCTTTGGTGCCCCAGCGCAGTGGGTCCCGGCCCAGGCCCAGCCCGCGTCTCCCCACGGTCGTCAGCACGTTAAGCACAGGTCACGTCAGCTGGTTGACTGTTCTGGGTGCTATGTTCCAGAGGAGTTGCCATAATCCAGCCAGCACCAACCCCTGGCGTCCAGGTCCCTGAGATATCTCATTGATCTGACTGGTCAGTAGGCTTCTGGCCTTGTAGCAGTTGAGTTTCCATCTCCCCGATGCCTGACTGATCTGTGAATAACCCCTAAATATCCTGGAGGAACTGCCAGATGCAGAATCTGACAGACAGTTTTTCTGTTTTGTAAGGTTAAATTTTCTCCTGTGGGTTTCTTTGAAGGGAGGCCCTCCTGTGTTTTCCATCGGCCTGCACATTATTCCTTTGGCTACAGCGTGGCCTTTCTAGGCGGCGGGGGGAAGCCAGGGAGTTAACACTGGCAGTGGTTAATCCACAAAGTGGGTAATTGAATCGACTATAATTAAAATCACAGGCGCATCATGGAGAATGTCATTTTTCTGTTAAAGTCACCGTCCAAAGCCTTCGCAGCACACGGAGCTCAGAACGTGCTTGGTGTTTTAAAGACAGCCTTCCCTCTGGTCCTCTTTGCCTGTTTAATAAGAGGAGGCTGGCTTCCTTCCCAAGACGTATCCCCCAGGATCTCTGGGCTGCAGCTCTCCTGCCTTCTGCCCTCCCCCTCTTCCTTGTCAGTCCCTCTGGGGCTAGGGGAAAGGGACAGAAATGGGAAGGGGCCACCACCTTCCACTGCCCCCAGCTCCGCCTCCCATTGTCATCCCAGCTCCTGCCCTGTTTCCTTCTCTTCTCCCCTCCTCCCCAGGGAAGGGCCTGAATGAGGACTGAGCTGAGAAGTCCCTGAGTGGAGTTTCTCCACTTCTTTCCCTGTTTGACTACTCACATCTGGAATACCCCTGTCAGAAAAGATGAAGGGAATTAAAGTGTGACCCATTTTCTGATGTTGGAGAGCACCCAGTTGGGTGGGGACAGGCAAGCCCCTCCGGTCCCCCCACACAGGGAAATAAGATGAGCATTTTCAGAGTGACAAAAACATACAATGTAAATGGAACAGAAAGGGCAGAGAGAATGTGGAACAAAGATCAGAGTGGTGAGGTTATAATCCAGGGAGGCTTCCTGAAAGAAGAGGACCCTTGGCTTAGCCTTGAAGGTAGTATAATATCCTACCAGGATTTCTGAGAATGGTCCTGAGGTCAGCTAAAAACCCTGCCTACCTGACTCCAGATCCACTCCTTGTACTGATACTGCCCAAATGCCATTGCAACTTTGTGACACTTATTGCCAACCAGTAGTTACCTGCTGAGGGCGGACGCAGATCCAAGGGGTTTGCTTTGTTTTGCTGCAGAATTTTTTCTTATTTTTTAAAAATCATGCATATCATAGATTTCTGAAAAACATCCAACTCACAAAACCTCCAGTTCTCCAGGGAGCGAATAAGTGTTTGCCTGTCGTGCAGAAATGAAGGGCTGCTCTTACTCTGTAGGGGAGGATAATGAGTAATCATTTCTTTCCCTTGGATTACACACATGCACACGCACGCATGCGCACCCACACACTCACACACCCCTCAGGGCCTTCTGTGAGCTGGTCACTAATGCACTGTGGGGGAAGCACAGGGCCTCATATTCTCCCTCGTGTTTACCCCACTGGCATGGAAGTTCCCTGCTCCACACTCTCCTTACTGGTCACTTCCTCCCATCTGTGATCAGGGGCTGGGGTCAGCTTAAGGGGCTCTGGACCCTGGTGGGAGGAGTGGGTGTCCCGGGGGAAAGAAAGAGGGAAAGCCATCGGGGCACTGCTCCCCAGGCTCACCCTCGCCAGACCACTGCCCTGTCCATCCGGAGGGCTGCAGGCTCTCCTCTCTGCCCACCCAGTTCCCAGGAAAGGGTTTGGCCTTGGCTGGGAAAGTCCTTCCTTGGAGTCAGGAATGGATACTGACCACCCACCCTCCATTTCTCCTGCCTCTATGAAGCCTCATCTGAAACTTGATTCTTCTCGTACAGAAGAGAGTGGAGGTTCATTCATTCATTCATTCATTCAGACACTTCCAGGGGCTGGGCAGATCCTAGAGATCCAAAAGTAAGGCCTTCCCTGCCCTCCAGGATAAACTGCTGGGCTAGACACCCAGCGAGTGGGGGCCTTGCTGGCAGTGAATTAGGCGTCTATGGGAGTCCCTCACTCTGGCTTGGGTGAGTTCAGGAAGGCTTCTCGGAGGAGGTGGGGTAGGGATGAGGTGAATAGGAACTGAGGAAATGATGGGGTGAATTGAGGGACAACAGAAGCGCAAATGTTTGCAGGTTCATGTAGCTGGAGAAGTGCACAGCGTTTGATTCAGTGTGACTGGGGTGGAGAGCTGGAGGGGAGTGTAAAAGATGAATCATCATTCTTTCACTAAAAAATCAATATGCTAGGCTGTCCACCTGGGAGGACAGTGGGGCCAGAACCCAGAAGGCTTCACAAGAGTTGAGACTTTTCTTGCAGGCAACTGAGCTATTAAAGGATTCTAAGCTGAAGAGAGACGTAACCAGATTTACATTTGAGAAAGGTTGCTCTGATTGCCTTGTGGGAAATGGACTTCAAGGGCAGGAGTTGAAGCCAGGTCAGTTAGGGCATTTGGCACAATCCAGGCAAGAGATGGTGGCAGCTTGGATGGGGGTGGGGTGCAGAGGGCAAGATGGGTAGATTTCAGAGACAGTTTGGAGGATTTGCTGTGTGCTTGATATGGCTGGTGTGGGCCTAGGGCAGTAAAGGACCGTGACAGGCTTCCCTTTGGGCAGCCCAGGGACAGGTGGAACCCTTCTCTGAGCCAGGGAACGTGGCAGGAACAGTCACACCCCTACTCTGCCCCCCAGCTGTCTGCTCTCAGAGGAGGGCAGGTCATAGCCAGGTCTCCGGGGTGCTCCCTGCCTCTCTGCTCCCTGACTTTGTCCTGACGCAAGCCCATCCATTCTTGGCTCTCATGCTGGTGCAGTGGGGAGACCCTGCTGCAATAGTAATCAAATACTTGCCTCTCCCTCCACCAGATCTGAAGCCTTGGGTCTCTAACTTCACCTACCCTGGAGCCCGAGATTTCTCCCAGCTCGCTCTAGATCCCTCCAGGAACCAGCTCATCGTGGGAGCCAGGTAATGAGGTGCAGGAGGGCTGGGGCCAGGAGTCTGGCATGCTTAGAATCGGGTGGAGGGACTATTATTTGGGATAATGCCCTTCCTCCCCGGCCCCTGTTCCTCTCTGCCAGGCCCTGTCTGAATGTCTGTCTCCCATAGAAGGAAGAATTGGTGGGGGTTACCTCTAGACCTCTGGTTCTCAGCAAGCCACATTCCTCATGGCTGGTCGATACTGAGAGCAGGAACACCTGCTGGCCACCTCCTACCTTCTGTCCCTGCCATGCTGCCAACAACTGTCTAGCTGGTGCCCTCCCCAGGAGCCTGTGCGGAGAAGATGCCCAGGAGCCCCCTGCTGGCCGGCCGGCCGCCTGCACCTGGACTTGGACGCAGGCTGTGTGACTCTCCTATGGAAAGAGCTCACCTCCCACCCCACCTGATCTCGTTTAACCCTGTCCTGGTCCAGTATTTATATGCTTTAGGAAGGACTTGTAGAGACTCTATGAGGTGGAATAGGAAGTAATTCTCATAAAATCCTAGACCATCAGCTCTGAGAGGGAAGGGAACTTAGAGATGGTTTACTCCAGTGGGTCTCAAAGAGCGATCCCTGGACCAGCAGCACCCAGAAACCTGTTAGAAGGGCAAATTCCTGAGCTCCACCCCAGACCTGCTGAGTCAGAGGCTCTGGGGATGGGGTCCATCAGTCTGTTTTAGAAAGCCCTCCAGGTTGAGTCTGACACACTTTCAGGTTTGAGAACTGGTCTAATCCATCTGTGCTCGACTTAAACATGAAGAGGCAGGGGACAGAAAGGGGAAGGGGACTTTTTCAAGATCACCTAGCAAGATGACAGCAGGATGTGGGGGACTAGAACCCAGATCTCCTAACCTTAGGGCTAGAGATTCTCCTGCCACTTCATGTTACCACCTCTGACTGCACTGGTGTTTTTCAAAAGCTCTCCACCCCACAAGTAAAGCTTCAGTGGGTCTAGGTGTGGGGAGGGTGACCACTGCGTTGAGCACCTCCAGGCTATGCTGTGTAGCTGACCAGCCTTGACCTCTCAGCTTTCCTGAGTGTCCCCAACCTGCTCATTTGCCACGTGAAAAGGAAGCAAGTCAAGGACGGAACTCTGGACCAGATGAGCCGCATTCTTGTCCTGGGTGATTCTGACCTGTGAGGCTCAGTTTCTTTTGTGTAAAGTCTGGGTTACAGCCTCTGTGCTGCCAACCTCACAGGGCTGTCGTGAAGCTGGGGTGAAAGCATTTTATTTTTATTATTTTATTTTTAGATTAACTGATTATTTTGCCTCAGTGATATGTGTTATAGTAAAACATTCAAAGGTACAAAAGAATATATAGAGAAAAGCAGGACCATCTCCACCCCCACCCTAATCCCCACATGCAATCCCTGCAAACACACACACACACTACACGGAGCAGGACCCCTCCTTGGAGGCACACCCTGTGGTGAGTTTGTGTGTCCTCCCAGAGGTTACTTATACACATGCAAGTATACAAGAGTATGGTCTTCATTTTTCCAGCAAAGAGAATAATTGTCTTACTTTTTATTTTAAGATAATTGTAGACTTACCTATAGTTGTAACAAATAATACAGAGCAATGCAATCCATATGCCCTTCACCCAGTTTCCCCCATTGGTGACATCTTGCATAATGATAGTGCGTTACAATCAGGAAGCTGACACTGATACCATCCATCCACTTTATTCAGAGTCCACCAGTTTTGCATATGTGCTTTTTAAAATCTGAAAGGTGGCACTGATGCTCCTGCTCTGAACCTTGGAAGCATTTTGAAAACTGTCATTCATTCTGCACCTGCCATGTGTCAAGGGCCTTTTTATGTGGCATATATGTAGTAAAGCATCTAAAACATATAATAAATCAGTCATGCAATAAACCATCCAGTCTTTGCAAAAAGCCCAGGAGATGGGTTCTGTGATTATCCCCAGCGAATGGACCAGGAAACCAAAGCTCAGAAGCATTAAATCTCCTGCCTGTGGGCAGGTTGCTCTTCCTGACCCACTCTGGGGCTTCCTGCACATGGGTGGAGGCATACTTTTTCCTGGGTCCTTAAGCCCAGCTATGCCCTCAGAAAGCAGAGGCAGAACCGGTCTTGGACTTGGTCCCTTGCACTCCTTACAGCAAATGAAGTGGATCCTCAGCTTCTCCCCTTTTCTTTAGATCACTTTCCTTCCTCCTCTTCTGCCGGACATTCTTCTCCTTTTTTCTGACCCCCTGGGCCTCTGGAATTCAAACTAGGGAAATTTTTTATTCATTTATACCCTGCCTTACTCCATAAGGGACTTAGGGCGGGTCAGGCTACAGAGATTTCTCTCTGTTCTCATCTCCCAGAAGAGCAGACTGCAATGTTGTGATGAATGATTTTTGATGGGATAAAAATGAATAAAGTGATGCAATGTTTCCCCTAATTTTTTAAAGCTGTGAGCAGATGCCTGCACTACCTGAGCAGACAGCCGGGGCAGAGCCACAAGCCGGGGCCCATCCGTCCCTGGGCCAGGAGGAGGGGGTTGCAGAAGCTCTGCAGGGAAAGGGTCTGGGGAGGGACAGCAGAGGCCTGGAGCTGAGGCCACCCTAAGCCCCACCCAGGCCCCAGGGCAGCAAAAAAACTAAGTAGGGTCTGCGCCTGGAGCCAGAGCTGGGGAGAGAAGTCCTCAGCCTGAGGTGTCTCCTTCAGGCCCCTGGATGCGTCCGGCTGGCCTCCTCCTTTTCTTGGCCCGTCTACCGCCTTTCCCCTCAGTTCTCTCCACAGCACAGCTGAGTCAGGCCAGAGCTTTCTAAAGCAATTATGCCTGAAAACTTCAGGAACCAAAAGAGGAGTGGCCAAAAGATGTAAGAAGGAAAACAAGAACATTTTTAGAGAAAACCAAGACTTTACATCTGCTTGACATTAATAAAGACTTCTAACATGCACCACACCGTTCCCCTTCTCTGCAGCCCTGTGAAATGAGGACGATAGGCCTTAGTTTCTCCATGTTACAGATGCAGGCGCTGGGCTCAGAAGGCCCCCAGCAAGTAGCTGCGCTGCCGTGCTCCTGCCATAGGGTCTTCTCTGTGACCTGCAATCCCTTTTGTGCGGCACTCCAACCAGGGGGCCTGCCACCCTCCAAGTCCATCCCAGAGTCAAGGCAAAGCCACTTCAGCAGTGCCTGACACCGTGGGTGCTCAACAGGGAGCTAATAGTAGTAGTAGTGGTATCCTCATCATTATTTAAGGTTTTTTTTTAAATTAAGACTTTATTTTTTTTTAGAGCAGTTTTAGGTTCACAGCAAACTTGATGGGAAGGTATGGAGGTTTCCCATATGCCTCCTATCCCCACACAGCCATTGCCTCCCCCGCATCACCATCCCCACCAAAGTGGTACATTTGTGGCAATTAAAGGACGTACACTGACACATTGTTATCACCCAGAGCCCAGAGTTTATATGATGGTCCCTTGGTTGTACACCCTAACAATCTACTGTGCTCCACCTACTTGTCCCCCCCTGCCCCCCGAGCCCCTGGCAACCACTGATCCTTTCACTGTCTCCACAATTTTGCCTTTTCCAGAATGTCACCTATTGGAATCATAGATTAAGTAGCCTTTTCAGACTGGCTTCTTTCATTCAGTTATATACATTTAAGTTTCTTCCATGTCCTTTCATGTCTCGATTGCTCATTTCTTTTTAGCATGGAATAATGTCCCATTGTCTGGATGGGCCACAGTTCATCCACTCACCTGTTAAAGGACGTCTTGGTTGGCTCAAGTTTGGACAGTTATGAATAAAGCTGCAGTGAACATCTGTATGCAGACTTTTGTGTGGACAGATGTTTCCTTAGTTAAGGTTTTAGAGCAGTGGGCTGATACGATCAGAATGGTATCTGAGAAATTTGAGTCTGGCAGCCCTGGGCAGGCTGGACTGCCAGGGAGAGGAGTCATGAGGTGGTGCAGGAGACAGTTTGGCCAGGAGACAAGGTGGTTCAGGAAGGTGCTCACAGAAAGGTCAGAGCCAGAGTCACTGACTGCAAGACACCCGAAAGGAGACAAGGAAGCAGGTAGGACAAGGAAGCAAGGGACCAAGGTGTGGAGCCAGGAGTGATGGCAGCCTGTTTGAGGATGGGAGTGGGTCAGGGTGGAAGGTGAGAGGAGAAAGATGGCCTGTCTGGGTCTCTGTGAGAGCTCCCTGAGGCTTTAGGGTTAACAGAGATAGGCCCCGTGGCTGCAGAGGTTTGTGTGGATATCCTCCCTGGGCCTGCCAGGACGGCCAGGGAGCAGCAACAGTGTGGGTGCTGGGAGTGGACATGCCTCAGGTTTAATTCCAACTCCTTCACTTACTATCCCTCTGACTTGGGCCATTTACCCAGCTTGCTTACTCATCTGTAAAATAGCATTTTCTCTCTCCAATCCCAGGGTTGCTGTGAAGATTAAATGAACTAATGAGGGTCAGCCCACCATGAGCCCTCTGCAGTCAGCACCCAGTCCTCGTACCCCATGAGGCAGGAGCCAGGAAGCACCTGAGACCTGTCAGCAGAACCAGCGTGACTTAAAATTTCTGTTTCTGTTTTCACAGGAATTATCTCTTCAGACTCAGCCTTGCCAATGTCTCCCTCCTTCAGGTACATGTATTTCTCTTCCTTTCCCTTCTCTGTAATCCCTGAATCTGGGAGCTGGGGCTAGGGCTACACAAGGAGCAAGATGCACGATTAAGTCCTGATGGTTGAAAACACGAGCCCCGTGCTCTTTTCTCTGCCTGTGAGTCACACTGGCTACCGAGCTGACTGCCGGGAAGGTGACTGGAAGTGGGATGAGGCCACATAAACATGGAGGTACACAGGGGGTTCCTGCGCTGTGCAGAGGACCTGCTGCAGGAGGGAGAGAGCAGGGGGAGAGTGCCCAACTGTCCCTGCTTGCTCGGGACTGAGGGGTTCCAGGATGCAGGGCTTTCAGTGTTAGAAGTGGGAGAGTACAGGGCACCCTGGGTCGGTTGGTCATTCTGAATCCACAGGAGGGTCTCTGACTTTAGGCCTCAAGGGAAAGGGTGTCCCTGGCCCCTTCCTCAGCCTGGCCTGAGTGATGCCATTCTAACTCAGCGTTTTCACTGAGCAGTGACTGATTTATTATCTGCTGCCAACCAGGACTTCCAGGCATAATTCCCTAAGTGCTCTAGCAGGCATTTTAACGGGACTCTTTGATCCAGAACATTTATCCCAGATTGCGAAACAGATGCCAAACCATTTCTGTAGAGGCTGAACAATCTAGAGAAAGGAAGGCCGTCTCTTCTTCAGTGCAGAGAAAGCCTCAGTTCTCGTGTCTAGAGGCTTGCTGGCTGCCCAATGGTCAAGCGTTCATTGAGCACTTATGCATCAGAACTGAGCTGGAGGCAGATGGGCCGTGAGACAGGCAGAATCTCTGACCTGCAGGGCTCACAGTAGAGCCAGGGGAAGATGGTCAGTAATGCATACAGCCTAACTACACAGCGGTATGAGGAGGCAGTCAGGCACTGGGCTGTTCGATATAGGATTTCACTGCAAAGGGCAGTTGGGGAAAGGGAGGCCTTGGAGAACTGTGGTGACATTCTGGTCTGTTTTCTTCTAGCTGTACCTGGGTCTTCACCCCCGGGGGCTCCTGCAGCTGGTTGCCAGAGGGGAGGTATGGGGGAGCAGAAAAGGCCTAACCATCAAAAGGAGGTCCAGGAGACCTAGGGAAAATTGAAAAAAAATGCAATTCATCCATTTATTGACCCACCTGTGCTTCTGTCTGCACCCTTACCAGTGAACCTGCGCATCCATCCATCCATCCACCCACCCACCCACCCACCCGATAAACATCATAGGCTCCACTAGGCTTGGGGCAGATTCCTGCCTACTAAAGGCCAGGTCCAGTCCTAGGCATGGTACTAGGCATTTGATGTTCAAAGGGGAATCAGACAGAGAGGCCATTCACAGAGGGTCTTCACTGCTGAGGAGAGGGGCCATGTTTTATTTTGAAGACAATGGGGGCTCACGGAAGTGTTCTGAGCACTGAAGCAGCATGAACAGATCTGGTGTTTAGATCACCAGGCTCAGTGCAGAGAATGGATTAGTAGTGGAGCCGAAGCAGAGGTAGCTGCCATCGTCTGGGTGAGTGATGGGGGAACGGAACTAAGGCAGTAGAATGGGATGGAGAGGAGACAGAGGAAGAGACCTGCAGGCGGGAGAGTCACATAGCGTCACAGCATCACACAGCCCCAGGGAGCACCCAGGAGCCCTGTGTTCTGTGTGAAGGGGACCCCTGGAGCGAGGGAAGCTGGTAGCCCTGGACAGCTTAGCAAAGACTTTGAGTAGAGGGGTGCCATCTAGGTTTCTGCCTGTCCAGCTGGGCAGCATGAAACAGTAGGAATGGAGCTGGTCTGAAGCGAGCAGTGGTTGCCCCTTGGTTGTCCGCTAGAATCCTCAAGCTAGCTTTGAAAACACTGATATTTGGGTCCTACCCTCAGAGATAATGACTTAATCAGTCTGGGGTGCAGCAAAGCACAGGGATATTTAAAACTGCTGCGTGATGCCAATGTGCAGCCAGATTTAGGAGCCACTGCTCTAGGCTGCCAAGAAAGCCTTTCCTGTAGATGCTGCTTCCCCAGGTGTGGCCGACAGCTGCCTGCAGGTCCCAGTCCCATACCTAATCAGATGTTTGGACTCTGGCTTGATGATGAGGCCTGGCTTTTGGTTCATCCGCTCCATGCTGATCTGGTCTCAGCCATGGGAAGATATCTTATGCCAGCTCCGTAACTCACGCTGGGGCTGGACGCAGCTTCAGGCGGTTCTCTAAAGAGCCACGCAAACCAGCCATAAGCACACGAGGAATTGGTTTTACACCTTCCCAGAGTGTCTCTTCAGGCTTGGTGTCAGGAGTTCAGACTGGATTCTCTGTGATAGAACTATGGAGAAAAATAAATACATTTTAATATCCACTTCCCCACCGGAGGTGGTACCATCCGGCCACAAAGGAGAGAATGGGAGACGAGCTGGAGTGAGCTGCCCAGCATTCCCTCCACTAGGCTCGGGGCAGACCTCTGCCTGTAGTTACCTGGTCTGTCTTCCAGCCTGGGGAGAAAGCCCTGACTTTTGATTATAAAAGCTCAACTTCAGCAAGCACCCTCTACTGCCGTGGGTGTATAAGCTTTCAGTCCACAGCATCTACGATCAGTGGCTCACAGCAACCAAACGCTAAACAGGAGCTGCAATATTTGAGGATGGAGGAGGCGGGGCCCGGGCCCCCAGCCCAGCTTCCCTCACTCTGCATGCTGCCTGGGATACACACTGCTGTAGTCTCCATTACAGCCCACTGATCCTGCCATTAGCCCCAGGGAATGATCCAACCAAACTTTAAACTGATGCTTTATCAATAGTTTAAATAATTAACATCCCTTAAAGAATAATCTAGGTGCAAACAGTTTATGCAAACCAGGGCTCATTAAGAGGACTTTTAAGTACCTAAACCCTAGTAAACAATTTGGGTAAACTAGTACTCCCTAAGGAAAATCGAGCTCCTCCACCCCCCAACCCCTTCTCAGCTCTCCAGGAAATAAAGGGAGGGAAATGTAGGGGTAGGGGTGTGGGGGGGGGCAGGGGGGAGGAAATCAAATCAGCTCACCTGTGATGGTTATCTATCAGTATCACTTAATAAATGGGTTTGGGGAAAGAAAAGATGGCGAATGTCAACAGTGTCAGGGAGCTGCCATGTGATGAACTAACTTGGATTTGGCAACTCGGAGCTCATGAGCAACCATTGCCAGAGCAGTGCCAGGAGATAATGTGGCTGGAGGCCGAATTGCAATGGATTTATGATCTTGGGCAGCCAGATGTCCTGCCAGCACAGAAATGGGGCCTGTTCTGCACATACGCATCAGGACACACACGGGGCTTTGTCTGGGTCTGGGCAGGCCGTGCGGCTGATTCTGAGCTCTCTTCCAGTTATCACCACATTCTACAAGCTTGTCTGGCAGCTCTAGAGTTGTTTAAAGTCTAAACTCCTTGCTGGTGGACTTACTGCTCAGAAGATATTTTAATGTTCAGCTGTTGTCTCTGGTGTCCAGGGATTGCTGAGCCTACAGGATTATCAGTTCATGGCTGTCTCACCTGCCCTCTCCCATAGCAGAAAACCATGCAGTTATCTGTAACTAGTGGTTACCATCCTGGAATTTCTAGGATAGTCCTAGTGTGAACCATTATGTGTGACAGATTGATAATACAGGTCTATCTCCCCTCCTTATGAAACCCCACTAAAAGGATAGTGAAAAACTTTTCGAGCTATGACTCCTCAGTGACAGAGAGAGCAAGAGACATCAGTGGAGAAGAGATTAAATGCCTTCTGGGGAGATGGAAAGTTGATGGAGCAATCATAACCGATTTAGCAAAGCAGAACAGCTTATAGAGTGTTAAAAGAAACACAAAATTTAACTGAGAAATTTGAAGATTTAATTGACTATTAAGCAATTCATGTATCTAGCAAGTAGAGTGATGCTCTGAGGAGTTGTACAAATGGAAGGTGTTTATAGGAAGGAGGGTGAGACAAGAAGTTATTAGCAGTGAAGAAAAAAAAGGATTCTTTCAGGCCAGGTCACTTTCCTTCAGAGGGAAGAGCAGGGGGTCTTATCATGCAGATGACCTCGTCTTTTGGGAGATGCAGTCAGCCTATGTGACAGATTATATCATTGGTGCTGACCAGAAAATTCCTGACTGACTAAGATGACATTTTTAGGGGCAGGTCAGGGGGGTGGGTGTTGCAACTGCAGTTAGGTGAGGTATTAACCCCGCCGTTTGGTGACTTGGCCTAGCATAAGTCCATTTTGGGCCGGTGGTTTTCTTTTTGACGAAAGAAAGATATGGCACAGAAGCAAGCCAACTCCCCAGAAAGGCTCAGAAATTGGGGTGTTGCGTATTGTGGAATGTGATGATGAGGTACAAGGCTAAAAGGGGAAATGGTTGAAATTGTCTGATTAGAGAGGTTGGAACCCAGGTCTCCTGTCCCATCCCACACAACAACCTCTTCCCCCATTTTATCTCTCCCAAAGAGACCCTGAGACCCTTTAAAGATCCAACTGGTAAGGCTCCAAATTTGGAGACTGCAAGAAAGGTGAAAGACACTTAATGGGGTATGGGGCTACAGCAATGTTGCTCCTCTTTCTTTCTTTGTGCACTTTACTTAGTGAAGAAACTTGGTCATTTGTTCTGTAGCATTTCTCACAGTCTGGACTCTGCTGATTGCAATCTAAGTGGTATAACTTAACACGTTCCTCTAATTAGATCTAAAGAATTTATTCAGTTTCAATTCCAGCAGGATTGCTTCATAGGTGTTATTATATTATTTTTTTAGGAGGTCCATAATATCTGGTTTTCTGTGTGTGTGTGTGTGTTAACAGCCATTGATAATTGTTTCCCAGATGCATTAATTCTTTAGGTGTTGCAATGTTAGCTGGACTCCTACAAAGAGAAACTTCTCCTCATCTATTATTGGTTATCCAATGATACAGTTCTATAGAAAATGCAGGATAAATGTTTGATACTCTGTTTTTATTTACCAGTTTTCAAATAATGAGCTGGTCTGCTAGTATCTATCAATCATGATCAACTAATTTTATTCTTTTATTATTATTATTATTATAGTCTCATTCCTTTAAACATTGTTGATGTGTTCAATCCATTGCAGTTATCATTCATAACTATCCCATCTTTTGCAAGTGGGAGGCTGTTTCAAGTTGACACCTGGGTTCTTTTACATGATAACCCTGGTCTTCTTTGATTGCACCCTTGCTGTTTGGTGTGAGTAGATGTTCCAGGCTCACCTTGTACATTTCCAAACCACAAGCCTGGAAACAGCCATTTCTTTAAGAGGCTATAGTTCCTTTCAGTGGGAAATGATTAGTGATTTATTTTTAAATTTTACCAAATAGCCAAAAATCAACAGACATTTGACAAGAGCCTCTAAACTAAAAGAAAAAGATCAAGACAAAGAAGCACACAGAATGAAAGAAGCTTTAAGAAACAAGAACAATGAAAGAAATACAAGAAAACATATACAAAGAAGTACTTAGGAAAAAAACCAATTAGAATCTTCTGAGATATAAAAATATATTTTGTTTATAAAATAATAAATTAAAAACATGGAAATTAAAAATGTGATTGGGGAAATAAAAATTGAATGAAAGAACTAGAAGATAAAGTGGAAGAAAAATTTCCCAGAAATTAGGGCACCAATAAAAAAACAAGAAATGAAAAACAGGAGAGAAATAACAGAAAACTGCACAGAGGATCAATGCACAGGGGCCAGCAGTTGATTGGATTAATAAGAGCTACAAAAGAGAGAACAGAGGAGAAGGTGAGGAAGACATTGAGGAAGAAACAACATAAGAGCATTTGCCAAAACAGAGGATGAGTCTTCACACTGAAAGGGCTGAATGAGTTCCTGAAACAGACCTGCATTCAGGCATATCAGTGTGAAATGAGGATAGTGTTATTAAAGAGACGATGCTAAAACATTTTTGAGCCTAAAGAGAAAAAAAAAAAGACAATGTTCACTACAAAATACGGGGAATAAGAATTACATCAGACATTCTCCATAGCAACACTGGAATCTAGAAGACAACGGAGGAAGAAATGCCTTTAAAATTCTCAGTGAAAATGATTTTCAACCTAGAATTCTATATCAAAACTATCAATCAAGTGTGAAGATAGAATGAATGGAGCATGCAAGAATTTTTTTAAATTGCTCTACCATATTTATTCCTTTTCTTTGGAAGATACTGAAGATGTGTTCCATCAAAATAAGCTAGTAAATCAAGAAAGTGGGAAACATGGGATTCAGCAAACAGGAGAGGAAAGAAGGTAAGCTCCAGTTTAATTAGCCAAGCAGGAGGCCTCAAGAGAAACCAGTCCCTGCTGGGGCAAAGAGGCTAGAGATTGGGGAAGGTGGAAGAAGATGGGAACAGATTATCTGACCATTTGTGTGTACAAAGTTAGCAGGTGATGCTGAGAGGGATTTGTAGCACCTGTTGGGCATTTGGGAAAAATTAATGATAAGTACACTACAAAACAAGCAAATGAAGAAAATCAAGACAATTAGTCCAGGAAAACCAAGAAGCTGACCAAGAAAGGAAAGCTCATTAGAACAGGCATATTTCAGTGATTTTCAGTTGCACAGGTCTTCACATTTTAATGAGTCTGAAATCAGGCCGCCACATCATTCTGTTGAAGGCATCTTACTGTCTGTTGTCCAGGCTGCTATCCTGGTGGAGTTGCCATTGCTGGCTCAGGTGTGAACTTGGTCATTTTTCCTGGCATTTCTGATGTGACAACATTAACATTTCAGTCCACAAACCATTTTAGGATCATATAAAGAAGGACTCTGAGTCCTGGTTTGTCTGAAAACCTTCTGCAGAGACCTTCTGGCAAAATCAAGAAGGTGCCAGCATCCAAACTTTCAGAATAGGGTCAATAGCTTGGAAGAATACTCTGGAAACCAGAGTGGAGCACCCTGTGAGAATTGCTGCATCACTGAAACCTGGAGTGGTTCAAAAAAAGGATACTCTGAAACAAGCAAGCAAACAAACAACACAACAGGAAACAAGCACTGATAACTGAAAAGTGATTCCAAAGAGGTGAACTCTGAATTTGAAGGTTTAAAAATACTAACTAGTTTTGCTGACATTTTTTTTTGTATGCACAAAATTGGTATATGATAAAAAATATATGTCAAAATAAAAGTACTTTCTGTAAGTTTACATTAAAAATTTAAGTAATAAAGGAGTTTGACCGCATGTTGTCTTTCCTAGTGGTTCATATTACAATTGATGGTGTCTTACATTCAGTGAAATCTGGGGTACTGGTTGGCAGGATTGAACAATTTTTACATATTTATAATAATACCAATGTTGATTTTAACTTAAAATAGTAAGAAATTATTTTACTTAATTTTTACACTCAGTGTAACTTTGCCTAAAATAGCAAAAACATTAAATAATTAATATTATGTAATTATAATGGGAGGGTAGAGACAGGAGAAACGTATTTTTGCTTTGGGATGGGAGGATGGGATAGATCTCATGGGAAAAATCCTCACCTCCATAACAGGACGTCAGAAGGTGAAGACAGGCATAAGCATTCTTCAGAAATTGAACAAAAAACACAGAGAAATAGCTAAAAGAATTGGAAGAAGTTGTCTTTGGGAAATTGTGTGGGTTGTGGGAGGAGTGAGTTGCTGGAGGTTTTTTAAGAAGTTTTTTCATACTATTTATCTTTTTCAACTCTGTGCATCATTACTTTTATAAAAATAATTTTAAAAATAAATAAAATGACACAAACAAGCCTGTTCTGTGCTGTTATCATTATAAATACACATATGCTTTTCAGCCATATGTTCTAACTTTTGGTTTCAGAAATCTGTTCACCGTGACAGGCTACGAGAAGGAACAGCTTAGCTCTGGTGTCAGTGGTCCGGGTTTACACCTGGGGTTTGTTGATCACTAGCTTTGTGACCTTGGGCAAATTGCTCAACCTTTCTGAGTTTCATTTTATTCACCTATAAAAGGAGCAAAAGGCTGATGTTTCACTGGCTGTGGTGAGGATCAAAGAGAGAGGTGTATAAAGTCTCTGACATAGTGCCTGTTCCAGGGTTCAGTTCAGTGTAACTGCCTAACACCTTTTAATTGTACAGCTCTGTCTCCATCCAATGGGATTCCCACCCCCTTAGAACAAGGCTGACTTCTTCAAAGTGCCCCCATGCTCAGGAACCCAAAGGCCCCTTTGTCTTCACAGTAACCCTTGTAGCCACCCACTGTCCAAAGCTTTAGGCCCAGACATCCGCAGAGTGTGTGGGTCATTGCTCTTTTCTGCCCCTGAGGCTCTGAAGTTGCTTGTTGTATGTCCCTCTCTCCTCTCACAGGAGGCTCAGCCCCAGAGTTGATGGGGTCCTGGCTGTGACAGTGGCTCCACCGTTCCTGTCCAGATGAACCCTGTGGCTCTGTGGCCAGATGCCAGGGGTTATTTGCCCTCTGTGAGGCCTGGAAGCAAAGACCTGAGCTCCAGGCCTGGGCTGGCAAGTAGAGCCCAGCCTGCACGTAGGTCTGATAGAGGTTTGACCAAACTTGTCAGCCAGCTCCTGAATCCAGGGTCTGTGCAAGTCAGTCCTCTCCTGCCTCCCAAAGCAGCCATCCTGGGGAGAGCAGAGAGCAGCCTGTTGCTCCCTCTCCTTGCACCCCACGTCCCCTCCCACACCCCAGCCCCTGAAGCTCTGCAGCAGTGACATCATGGCTAGAAGGAGCTTTGTTAGAAATTAAAAGCAGGTGGGTTTTTTTTCCCTGTTTGGATGGGAGAGGTGCTTGCTTGGGGCTTCCTCTTCCACAACAGGTAGGCAGTTCATGTTTACTATGTGGCCCATAAATATGTAATGTGCCACACACCATGCCTGTTGATATTGCCTGGACATGAAGGATATTATTCCTCCCTCCAGCTGCTCTTAGGTGTCAGAGAGTAAAGGCAGAAGAGATGCAGGAGAAGAGGCCATCCTAGGTGGGAATAGCCCTCTCCTAATGCCGTGGGCACTTGGAACATGGGATCCTCTGGGTCCCTGGGTGGAAGCTGTATACCTGATGATAGAACATGAGTGATGCTACAGGGAAGCAGACAGCACAGAGTTGGAAGGAGGGGGTAGAAATTACGAAAGAGAAGTCCTACGTCCTTGAGACAATGGGGTAAAGAGGAAAAACACATAGCCTTTGCTGGATCTGAGGGGCACCCATTCCTTAAAGGTCTCGGGTAAGGTGATGCAGCAGCCTTCTGGTACCGCGTGGGTTCAGTGAGAGGAACGTGTACCCTGAGGGCTGTTGTTGACCCTCCCCAGCTTCCTGCCCACTGAGGCCCCTGGCTGCTGCCTGCCCCAGCAGCGAGTGGCACAGCCTTGTGATGTCCGTGTGCTCCTCCCACAGGCCACAGAGTGGGCCTCCAACGAGGACACACGCCGCTCCTGCCAAAGCAAAGGGAAGACTGAGGTATGTGGCCTTGGTGGTCCAGGGTCCTGGTGGATAGGAGGCTTGTGGTTTCTGGGAAGGAGGGGCACCATGTGGGCTTGAGGCCGCCTGTATGAGAGGTGCAGCCAGGCTGCATGGGCCTCCTGGTGCAGGTGAGGATGCTGCCCCAAGCATCTGAGTGGGCAGTGATGTGGAGAGCCGGCCAGGGAGGGAGGGGTTGTGGGGACGGATGTCCGCAGATGCAACCTGAACTTTGGAGCAGGGGGGATCTGGGGCAGAGGGCGATGCTCTGAATGTGTGTGGTGCAGTGGTGTGAAGGAAAGACCCCCAGCGCTGCATCTGGAGAGCTTGTCCCTCTCTCACTTTCCTGTGCTTCAGGAGGAGTGTCAGAACTACGTGCGAGTCCTGATTGTCGCCGGCCGGAAAGTGTTCCTGTGTGGGACCAACGCCTTCTCCCCGGTGTGCTCCAGCAGACAGGTGGGGGCCGCTCGCTGGGGGGCAGACAGAAGGGGCCCCAAGAGGTTCTCTCACCCAAGCACAGCCTTGGAGTGGAGCTGCCAAATTCAGCAAAAAACAAAACCAAACAAAACCCAAAGACAAAAACAAAAAAGGATACCCAATCTGATTGAATTTCAGGTAAACAACAAATGGTATTTTAGCAAAAGTATGTCCTGTGCAAGATTTGGGACATATTTATACTAAGAAATTACTCATTGTTCATCCAAAATTCAAATTTAACCAAGTCTCCCTCCTGTACGGTATGAGTCAGCCTTACTATAGAGTCCTAACGGGTTGCGGGGAGGGTGTGGGGACAGGGCCAGAGGCAGATGAAGCTTCTGGTACAACCTCCCACCTCCGTGATGGCAGCTCCCTCAGAGGGCCTGTGGGGAGGGCCTTGAGGAGAAGGCCTGACGGGGAGGGAGACGGTGGCCCAGGAGGTAAAACTCCAGGGTGGAAAGAACAGGCAGTCCCTGGATCTCCTGGAAATGTGCCCTCATCTCCCGTTGTCCCCAGGTGGGGAACCTCAGCCGGACTGTGGAGAAGATCAACGGTGTGGCCCGCTGCCCCTATGACCCGCGCCACAACTCCACCGCTGTCGTCTCCTCCCAGGGGGAGCTCTATGCAGCCACGGTCATCGACTTCTCAGGCCGGGACCCTGCCATCTACCGCAGCCTGGGTAGTGGGCCACCACTTCGCACTGCCCAGTATAACTCCAAGTGGCTCAATGGTAAGAAGGCAGAGCCCCCGGGGGAGGTTCCCTTGGTATGGACCCAGCCAGCTCGCCCTAACCCCCATCAATCCTTCTTCCTGCCCAACCTCCAAAAGGGCTCACACTGGCTTCATCAAGAGGCCCAGAGTGAGGCAAATGTTTGCCAAGAACCATAGCATGTCAGAGATGGACCCCGGCTGAAATCACAGATGCCCTGAGGACTATGGGGAGAGAAAGAGTTAGGAATTGACTAGGAGAAAAGGTTTTGGAAAAGAAGAGATTGGGGAGGGTGGTATGAGTTTGCTGTCCCTTGGGGTTAAAGCCCTACTTCTCCACTGACCAGTACTGGCCAAGCAAGTACTTGGCCTCCGCGTCCCACAGTGTCCTCATCTGTGATATGGGGCTAATCATAGCATAGTACTTACCTCGTAGGTTGGTAAGAGGACCATATAAAGTACTTATAACAGTGTCTGGTACACAGTGAGTGTCCAGTAATACATGTCAACTATTATTACAACTGCATTTTGCATTGGAGGTGAGAACAGGGTTAGTTATAGCCCCCAGGTCACCAATCTGTGATGCAGTCGGGGAATGGCAGGGTGTCAGGATGCCCATCTGGGAAAATGGAAATAGTCACGTAGTCCTGACTCTGCCCCCTTCGTCCTGGCCCAATCCGCTTCTTTCCCCTCTCTGCCTGCCAGAACCAAACTTTGTGGCGGCCTATGATATTGGGCTGTTTGCATACTTCTTCCTGCGGGAGAACGCCGTGGAGCATGACTGTGGGCGCACCGTGTATTCTCGGGTGGCCCGAGTGTGCAAGAATGACGTGGGGGGCCGCTTCCTGCTGGAGGACACATGGACCACATTCATGAAGGCCCGGCTCAACTGCTCCCGCCCTGGCGAGGTCCCCTTCTACTACAACGAGCTGCAGAGTGCCTTCCACCTGCCCGAGCAGGACCTCATCTACGGGGTCTTCACCACCAACGTGTGAGTCCCTGCTCTCTGCTACCTTGTCTGTGACCTTGCAGCCTAGTGGGGTCAGGCAAGTCCCTTTCTGAGGCCTTGGTTCTTTCTGTAAAGTGGGGGCTTTCATGCCTTCTGCCCCAGGTCACCTGAGGATTTTGTGTCTAGCTGCTGGGATGGTAAGCACTTACTCTGGGTCACTGTGAGGAGCAGGCCTAGGCCAGATATGAAGACAGTAAAAGGAGCTGGATTTTGACTCAATGAAGGAAGAACTAGCTGGTGCTGAAAGTGAAGTAGCCTGGCCTAGATGAGGGGTGGTAGCCCCGGAGGGCCCAGTAGCAGCCCTCGACAGGCAGGCTCAGAGCTGGTCCTTCTCTGATGGTCTCCTCCAACCTCAGGACTCCATGGTCCTGCTAACCCTAACCAGCAGTCTTCTGGCAATCCTGACTGCACTGGAAGGTACTGCACTGGGAATGGGAGCCCCTTTTGTTTCCTGGGTGTAAGGGAGGGTAGCGCTCTGGGAGCTCATGAGGGCCTTCCTCCCACCACCTCCCCGTGTAAAGGCTGACCCAGTCAGGTGCTTTGCATGTAGAGAAGGCTGAATACACAGCAGAGACCAAGGAACACATCTGTATTCTAGGATGCAGGGCTTTTGTAAGAACACTAGAAACATGGGAGCCATAGAGTAGCATTTGCTTACCTTGGCCGCAGGTAGCAGGAATTGGATGAGGTCCAGGGTAGCTGCAGGAAGGACAGTCTGAGGGGCTGGGCAGGGATGACAGCAAGCTGAAAAGCAGGCGCAGAGAGGCCATCCTTGCCGGGGACCCGCAAGCAGTGCAGCCAACACAGGCTGGTTGCTGAGAGCTGGGACTTCCTGACCAGCCTGGCAGTCAGCACCAGAAGGTGGGCAGCTGTGAGGAAGGGGCGGGAGCTACTGGAGAGGCATCAGGGAAAATGACAACATTAGTGTGGATTGTAAACCATTTGTGTATTGTGTGCTTTCTCCATGCCAGGTGTGCATACCATGATGTGGGTACCAATCAGCAAGAGCAGACCTGGCTCTGCCCTTAAAGAGCTTACATTCTAGAGAGGGTGGTTATTAAATGCCCAGTTTTAACTGTTACAAATGCTGCAAAGGAAAAGGGCAGTATGAAGGGGTGGTGAACAGGGAAGGTTTCCTGTAGGAAGTGACATCTATTGGAATGAGTGGGAATCAACCAGGCGAGAGGAACCTTGCAGCCTGAGAAAACAACATGCACAAAGCTTTGGAGTGGGTAGAAATGTTTGAGGAACTGAGCAGAGACCAGCATGGCAGGAGCCTAGAGGGCAAGGAGGCTAGAGAGCTGGCTGGACCATGGAGGATTATGTCCTGAAGCCTTGTAGACTGCTCTAAGGGTGTAGATCTGTATCCCAATAGTAAGGAGAAATCACTGAGGGGCTTGGAGCAGGCCGGAGACGTGCTTGGATGTGCACCTGGACATGTGCAGTCTGTGTGGAGAATGGATTGGAGACCAGACAGCCTGCAGGGAGACCACCAGTGAGGACTGTGCAGAGCTCAGGAGGAGACAGTGGGGGCTGACAACAGGCAGAGGGGACAGAAACGGACACAGTGGGAGAGGGACTAAATACAGAGAACAGAACTGGGAACATTTGGTGTGGTGTTGTCGTCTCAGAACCGTTCACACCAAACTCATAGAAACCTCTGGTTCTGTGGCTGAGCAGGTCTTAGAGGTTATCTGGCTCAGGGTGTTATGGGCTGTGGCGTGAATTGTGGTTTGATAACCAGCTTTTAAAAAAAGAAAAATTAAGTAGAATAAAATGGAATAAAAGTATCAGCATATATTTAGTAGGGTATTATTTCATGAAAATTCATTGCAGATGTGTATGTGTGTTATACTAAGCTGTAATATAGAATCTATTTCTTAAGTAGGCCATGGACTAAAATGTCTGAAAAGCACTGACTTTATTTGAGCCTCCCACTGGGGAAGGGGTGGGGATGAGCAAGTCACACAGAAGGACCCACCTGTGCTTCTCACCGTGGGCCCTTCTCAGAGGGTTTCCAGAGTGTGAGGACCTTGTTTCCTCCTCTGAGGCACCCCCTTGGTGAGGAAGGCATCTGGCTCATCACAGGTGCTTAATAATCCTTGGAGCTGTGCCATGCCATGACTTGACAGCTGGCTGTGGGATTTAAGAATGCCCACAGGAAGGGCAGCAACCCACCATCTCTTGCCTTTCAGAAACAGCATCGCTGCCTCTGCTGTGTGCGCCTTCAACCTCAGTGCCATCTCCCAGGCTTTCAATGGCCCATTTCGCTACCAGGAGAACCCCAGGGCTGCCTGGCTCCCCATCGCCAACCCTATCCCCAATTTCCAGGTACAGCTTCTTGCCCCCTTTTCCTCTCCTCACACACTGCCTTCCCCTAGACTAGCGGCCATCAGCTGATTCCCAACTGTTCAGCACAGACACCAAACCTGTCCCTGCTGGTCTGCACTCATCTAAGGGGTCTAGATGGTTCCTTAAGTGGAGGGTAACCTCCAAGATGTGAAAGAAGAAGGGGAAAGTTGTGGGGAACACGGAGCAAAGAAGCATGCACGGAGCCATCTCCAAATGTGACTCCACCCCTCTGGGGAGGCAGGAAGGTGGGGCCTCAGCTCTTCTCAGCCTAGGAAACCAGAGGAGCGTTCACAGGCTTCTGGCCAGAATCAGGAATTTTAGATGGAGTTTGCTTGCGGTCTACCCAGCATGAGTACAGATGCCTGGAGAGTGTGAATGCCAGGAGAGGTCAGGGCCCAGCCACAGGCAACGTAAGCATCCCCAGTGCTGTGATGGAGAAGGGGGAACAAGCTATGGGGCACAGGAAGCTGCCAATGGCTGACTTTCAAATCCAACTTCCTGCCCAGGGGGCAGTATGGAACACAGAACGACCTCTGCTATGCGGTGGAACAGTCCTGACCCAGATCTAGCCCTCTCTCTGGGTGACCTTGGTCAAGTCACCCACCCTCCTTCAGTCTCTTCACCCTTATCTAGCAGATAGGGACAATACCATCTTCCTCAGAGGTATGTGCCAGGGTTGATATATACCTGACACCATGCCTGTAATGTAGCAGGTGCTCAATAAATGGAAGTTGCCTTCCAGTTTTGGTTTAGAAGGCATAAGAACTCCAAGCAGGTGAGGGCACTGGAGAGGGGGAGGCAGGGCTTGGTACAACATGGGGGAGGGGCAACAGCATAAAATCACAGGACACTTTGTTAGCCACACTCAAATGCGATTTTGGATAATCCAGCCCCCTTTTCATCTCCCTATCCTCATTCAAATGCTGCAAGTCCCTCCTTCGCTATCTTCCCAGCCTCATTTTCATTTTGTTACCCAAAAAGAGGCACCTATCCGTGGAAGTGGGTGCAGGGGACCCAGTGGGGATGTTGGGGGTGGGGCGCGGGGATTGGAGAATCGGAGTCTGCCTGTGGCCCCCTGGGTTGGATGAGGAGGGAGGAGGAAAGGGGATCGCTGCAGCCCGGGTGGCTGGGCTCGCGTGACCCGCGTCCCTGCGGCAGTGCGGCACCCTGCCTGAGGTGGGCCCCAACGGGAACCTGACGGAGCGCAGCCTGCAGGACGCGCAGCGCCTGTTCCTGATGAGCGAGGCAGTGCAGCCAGTGACACCCGAGCCCTGCGTCACGCAGGACAGCGTGCGCTTCTCACACCTCGTGGTGGACCTTGTGCAGGCCAAAGACACGCTCTACCACGTGCTCTACATAGGCACAGGTGAGCCCTCCCCGCCCAGCCTGGGCTCCTGGTGGGGAGGGGTTTGGGGAGCCGGGGCTGGGCTGTGAGGTTCCGGAACCTTCAAAGCCACTCTCGTCTGGCCCCTCCAGAGTCGGGCACCATCCTGAAGGCCTTGTCCACGACGAGCCGCAGCCTCCGCGGCTGCTACCTGGAGGAACTGCAAGTGCTGCCCCCCGGGCGCCGCGCGCCCCTGCGCAGTCTGCGCATCCTGCACAGCGCCCGCGCGCTCTTCGTGGGGCTGAGCGACGGCGTGCTGCGTGTCCCGCTGGAGCGGTGCACCGCCTACCGCAGCCAGGGGTGAGCGGCCGCGGCCGCGGGGCGGGACGCGGAAGGCGGGCCTCCAGCCTCCCAGGCTGATCTCCGCCAATCGCACTTCGGAGGTGGTGCCCAAGGCGGGGCTTTGGAGTCCTGTAGCCCTGGGGTGGCGTCCTGGCAGTCTCTGGTTGTTTGCCTTTGGACAAGTCGCTTAACCTCACTGAACCTTGGTCTCGTTTTCATAAAATGTCTGGAGGGTTTTGTGAAGGTTAATTGGGATAGTCTACATAGACCACTTATCACTGCTTGGGGGACGTATGTGCTTAGCAAATGATGGTGGCTGTTGTTATCCCTGTTGTCAGCCCCACAGTTAGGGCCTGCCAGCCATCTCTAGCCTACTTGATTTATTCTCAGTCCCTTTCATTCAGAGAGAGGTCTTTATCTCTGAACCCACGGCACTTAATACCCAGATGTGGGGGCAGGTGGGGGATGATGCTTTGAGTCAGCCCCAAATGTTTGTTTTTCTTCCTTCCTGACTTAGAAGAGGCAGAGAGGCCTGGCTTGGATGGGGTGGAGGTGAGGAACCGTATGGAGACATTGCATTCCCTTCCCAACTGCTTCTGAGATCAGCTCTCCATATCTTAGCTTCCAGTGGATTCACAGACTTGGCAACGACACTGGCATTTAAGGGGAAAACAAAACCTATTCCAAAGCCAAATGGAAATGTATCTTAGACTCTGACACATGAGGCTCCCCTGAGATGCACTGCCTCATTTTTTAAATAATCAAAAGCTGCCTTCGCTGGCAGAGCCATTAGCCACAAGGGCTCCTGTGGCCTTTGCAACACAGAGACCTCCTGGCTGGGTCCATCTGTCCTCGAGATTTGGGAGACAAATGGTATCCCTGCTGCCAGGGGTCATTCTGCAACCCCAGTGGACTGTGCTGGGAGCTGGGCAGAAGGCTGGAGAGCAGAGAAGAAGGCTAGATGGCCCTGGGTGGCAGGAGGGAGGGGGAGGGGAGGGCAGCAGGTGGACGCTCTAGCTCTCAGCCCCGGCACAGAGCTCCATCAGCAAAACACTGAGCATTTACTATGCTTTACCATGCGCAAAGCCATTGCAGGACCGTCAGTGAGAGAGGAGGGAAGCAACATGAAATAGGCTTGGCATTTTTTCATTGACCTCAGAGCTCTAGATGTCTGGTTGGGGAGAGAAGCTTTGGCCTGTATCTGACATGTGGGGAGAGACAGTGGGGTATAGAGGAGGGACTTGTGTGGTGGAATTGGACACACCTGGAGTTTCAACTCAGCTCCATCATCTACTAGCAGCTGTATGATCATGACCAAGTTCCTTAACCTTTTGAGCATTTTCACTGGGAAAAGAGGGGGAAATTGTGATAGAGCAAAGGCTATTTACTTGTGGCAGAATTCTAAGGGTTGGGAATAATATTCATAAAGTGCCTAGTCCAGCGAGTTGTAAATGGTAGCTAGTGTCCTTATTCCTTGGTTATGTCCAGAGATGCATTTAGGAGCCCTCCAGCCTCCTGGGCTCTCTAGAGTCTGTTGGCAATGAGTCACAGGCTATCTGGGACAGCGTGTCCTCCATATCTTGTGTTGTTCTTAAACTTTTCACATAGACTTCATTGTTTAAGAGGTTGTAAATCCCTGAAGGCAAACCCAGTGTCCCTGTATTTTTTGTACGCTACCAGGGGACCGTGCCCAGCCCAAGACACAAAGTGGCTTGCATATGATCCTAGAGTTGATTGATTATTTGGCCTGAGAGGAAGTCAGGGTCAGAGCAGAGTGGAGACTGGGACTGGGAAGCGCACTGAGGCCAGCTGAGAATGCCAAGGGATTGAATCCTTTTGACTTGAATCCTGTGACTGTGGACAATGACGTGGTCTTGGAGTTGGAGAGTGAAGTTCTAGGCAGTGTGACTAGGTGTTTGACAAAGATCAGTCACAAAGTGGTGAGCAGCATGGTCATGGGGCAGATGAGCAGCCAGCAGGAACTAGTGTGGCTCCTGGCCAGATATGAAGTAACAGGGTCTACAGTGGGACGAGATGAAGGGGATGCTGGGACATTTCCCCAGTCCCACAGTGCTGCAGAGAGGGGACATGAAGGTTACATAGCATGGCCAGGTGGAACAGCAAGGTAGAAAGAGGTCAGTTTGGGGTCTGATACTTTCATTCTATTTGGTTTCTTGAGATTGGGATAATCTTGATGAATAGAGTGAAAAATCCTGCCTAAAGTTACAGGTAGATCTAAACATGTAAAATGTGAGGTCTCATTATCACAAAGTCAGTAAATGTCCAGAGTGAGCCCGTGCAGCCACCAAACTGTGCACTCCAGTCTGGGAGTCAGCTGCCTGTCACACTGTATCAGAATTTGTGCTGTTGTGGGGTGGGTTATCACAGGGTTTTACTGTGTCCTAGGTTAGATATTTCATGCTTTTTTCCTCACTCCTTCCAAAGCTGGCAGGAGGATAAGGGTGGGAAAGCAGAGGCCCCTTCAGGCCTCCTCCTCTGCCCAGAATCCAGGTCCCCTCTTTTCACTCAGACAAATATCGGTCTCATGGGGCACAACCAGGACCCTGGCCTGGCAGGAGAGACCAGGGTTCACGGGAGGGGAATCAAAGGGAATGAACCACTCATTGGCTCTCTGCAAGGCCAGGTTTTATGCATGAACCGCCTCCTGCATTTTTTCAGCATGCCTTTCATGCTGCGCTAGAGGGAGGCTCACTCAGGAAGGAGGCTCAGAGTATCTCCTCCTGACCTCCCTCCCTGTGCCATCTTAAGTAATGGCCACTGGCTACTGAGCTGTATGCTGGACAGCTCCCATTGCGAGAGCTGTTGCTACACAGCACAGGAATCCACTTGCTTGCAGCTTCCACCATCCATCTCTGTCCTGCCCCTGAGCCTATGGAATGAACCTGTTCCCTCTGGTGATGGCTGCTTGAGACATTGCAGTAGACAAGGCATGGTGAGATATTACTGGTCTAATGACTGTTTTTATGAAAGGAACTGTAAACTGCCCTCCATTCCTGCCGTCAGACACATTTTGACTCCTGGAGCTTCAATTTTCTTAAGAACATCCCCTGCCCTGTAGGCTTCAGAGGGGCCTTTGGCCAAAAGCAGGGAATGTGGAGAAGCAGAGAACTCAGGTGCTGACCCCCGGGGAGTCTCATGGGCTCACTCAGGCGACCAAGGCCAGGGCCCAGGCAGGCAGGTGTGTCTGGAGAATCTGATCTCCCCCTTCTTCTCTGGGAGAACTGAGGATAAGGGAGCCTGAGTGGGGGCTGGGGCTAGCATCTACTCTGTGTTTGCCTTCTCTCCTTTCTTATTCTGTCGTGGATTGGAAAGACAAAGCACTTCATGTCTTGGTCTGGGAACCCCGAGGAATGTGGCCCTGGAGCAGCATTTCTCAGATGTGCATTAGAATCACCTGGGAAGTGTTTAAAAGTTTCCAGGGCCTGGGCCTACTCCAGTCCAAAAGGCCCAGGTACAGGCAGGTTTTTTGTTTTGTTTGCCTAAGCTTTTTAGAAGATCCTCTAGGAGACTCTAATTTGCAGTCAAGACTGGGAACAACTGTTCTAGAACTGGTTAGGCCCTGGATGAAAGCAGTAGCGTGAGGCACATTGCATTCCTCAAGAATCTTCTGCTTTTATCTTGGGTAAACCAATTTAAATTTTCTGCTCTTACCCATTTTCTTTACTGGCAGATATTTGTTCTTGATAGATAAAATCTTATTTATTATCATTACTCATCACTAGTCATGGCTCATTCTCCTTTTTGTTCACTTAATTTATGTTTCTTATAAAATGCCATGTCAGCTGCTTCTGAAGTCTAATACCCCTTTCTGAAAGTTGAGGGACTCCACTCAGGAGTGGGCTTTACTGAGTTCTGATTGGTTGAATTTGCTGACAACAAATGTGGTCCAATTGTTAGCCAGTGAGCAGAATCTTAAAACCACAGTTTGCTGGAACTACTTTGCCCATGTGTTGTGATCATCCCATGATATCTCGTCTAATTCATTCTGCTCATGAAACAGTCCCAAATCAAACCATTGATCCCAGATGAAAATATGAGCACCCTTATATTGTAGTTTACACGAATTGTCCTTGAGTGAATAACATAGAAACAGTGAGTGTTCTTGAGCAACAGTAAGTGTCCTGGATTCCTGGTGGGCCAGTGTGCTTGCTGGTGCCTCTCCTATTAAAACTCCAAGTGTCAGTGAGGGCCCTCCTATGAGGTCATGGGCTGCCCAAGCAAGGGACAGCATTGCCTTCTTCCACCTCAGGTGACAAGGGGAAGCCCCACCGTTTTCTTTGTGAGGTCTCTAATATAACCTCTTTTCTCTCTGGAGCCTGACTTGGTCTGCTGAATTCACTGAAAATAAAGAACCCCACTCTCACCTGACTCTCCCTGAAGCTTCAGGAGGAAAAAAAAAGATTCTATCCTGGAGACAGCAAAAAAGGGGCAACCCCTTGATCCCTCTGTGTATCCCTTTAGTGCTCGGCATCCTTGGCCCCTGCAGCCCGTGGAAAATCCCTCTGCAGGCTCACGTCAGAGCAGGGGCTTCCACACCTTCTGCGGCCCAGCCCTTCTCCATCAGAAGCCTGCTGAGCTTGGAACCTCCAGTTTCTGCCCCAGCTCCCAGAGTTCTCTCCAGACCCTGTCCAGGAGGCCCACTGCTGTGGAGCAGCCAGGCCTGGCCAGAGGGGCAGAAGCTGGAAAAACAGGGCAGGAGGGACCCAGGATATCCCCTGAGGTTGGCAGTGGGTTGTCGGGGTGTTGGAGAAAACTTCCTTCAGGCCCCAGAATCTGATATTTACTTAGCAATGGACAGCAAATCCTGATTTCGTAATTCCCATACTCTTTTTCTCTTCCTTGAAGTCTTCCTAGTAGAGATTTAATTTTTTTGTTCAAAACTGTAAATAATACAATGAATAAGTCAGAAAGGGAAGGGGAAGAGAGGACCCCTAGGATATGAAAAGTAGAGGCGTTTGGCGCATGCGCTTGTGTGTGAACCATTATCTTTTCTGGGTTACTGCAGGTAGACCTGCCCTGGGGGCCTGGGAAGGGAGGCCAGGGATAGGACCCCTTTCCTGGAAGCCTGAGCTCATTCTCATGATGTTGACACACTGGAATCTGATTCCTGCCACTGAGAAATACAAACACATGTGGATGCCCTGGGTGACCTTGGACTATGCCAAGGTGTCCCCTGAACCTGCGCCTATGTTTTGAGGCATGGGCCCATGTTCACTCAGTGTGTGAAGTCAGACACAGCCTCTAGCTGGAGGCAGGAGAGTTGGTGGGGGAAGTGTGGCAGGGGAGCTCTAGGTTCAAGCCCCACTCTGCCATGTACAATTGTGAGATCTTGGGGGACTTTGTCCTCCCTTCTCTATGACTGTTTCTTACTTTGTACAATGAAAAGGTTGTATTATGGATCCTAGTGATTCTCAGCCTGGCTCCCATTAGAACCACCCTAGAACTTTTAAAAACCTTCCCATCCTGAGATTCTTGGGCACAGGCAGAATTTTTAAAATTTTTAGTGATTCTAAGGTACAGCCAGGGATGAGAACCGCCAGACCAGATCATCTCTAGGTCCTTTATATCACCAATGTTTCATGACTCTATAATTGTAGTGTTGGGCAGGGAGGTCCTAGGTCTTTGGATTTCTGTTCACCACATCCTCTCCTGTGGCCTCGATGAGGAGTGTGGGATGCCCAGACTCGGGGAATGCAAGGTGAAGTGTGTGGGCTCTGAAGGGGGACGTTTGAGTCCTTGGTCAGCCCTCTGGGTTTCTTTCATAGAACATGAGTATAACAGTAGCTTCCTCACTGGATTGTTGTGTTACATTAATTTATTCTTGTAAAGTGCTTAAAATGATGCCTGGCACACAGTATGTGCTCAATGAACTCAAGTATTATTATGGAAGGCAATGGGATGGAAAGAGGTGACTAGAGAGGAGCAGCCAGGTAGTTAGTTCTTGGGATGCAGGTGAGGCTGGGAGGCTGGTGGGCTTCTGTCTCATGATGTCTGTCTGGCAGGGCATGCCTGGGGTCCCGGGACCCATACTGCGGCTGGGACGGGAAGCAGCAGCGTTGCAGCTCACTTGAGGACAGCTCCAACATGAGCCTCTGGACCCAGAGCATCACAGCATGTCCTGTGAGAACTGCTTCATGCTACCCATCCTGGACCTCTTCCCCCAGTTCAGGCTGTGACTCCCCACACCCCCTGGGACCTCATGCCTTCCTACCCCTGCCTGTTTGACAGGGTCCTGCCCCGATGTGTGTCTGCAGGTGCGGAATGTGACTCAGGATGGGGCCTTTGGCCAGTGGTCACCATGGCAACCATGTGACCACTTAGATGGGGACGACTCAGGCTCTTGCCTGTGTCGGGCGCGAGCCTGCGACTCGCCCCGACCCCGCTGTGGGGGCCGAGATTGCCTGGGGCCAGCCATCCACATTGCCAACTGTTCCAGGTATGTGAGGATACCAGACCTGCACAGTGGCTGCCCTGGACTGGCTCGGGGGGATAGAGGAAATGGGGCATCCCCAGCCATGTTCTCACTAAGGGACGGAAGCCCTTTAGGGATGTGCAGGAGACTGGACAGGTAGCTGAAGTCTGAGGCAGACAGCATGAGCCCTGGGGTTTTCCCACTCTAACAGGAGGGAAGGTGCTGCTTTGTGGGGCTCTTGATACCAAGAGAAAGTCTGGACAGGCATGGGAGGCACCCCAGGGCAGACTAGCTTCCATAAGTCTTGCCCATAGCAAACATGAGCACAGCAGGGATGGTGATAAAACAGGCAGACCTGGCACCAATCCTGGATTGCATCTGTCTGGAGGTGTGATCTCGGTCAAGCCACCTAACTACCCTGACCTTCTCTAAATGAGGGTTAAGTACCCACCCCAAGAGTTGGTGGGAAAGTTAAATGAGATACTACATAAAAAGTGCTTGCATACTTCCTAGTACCCAGGGACTCCCTAATTACTAAACTGTAGTTCTAGACACTCTTACAATAACTTAGCTCTATATAAATTTATTAATTCAACTGTCACAACAACCTCCTGGGTAGGAATGTGATCATTATCCTTACTTTAAAGATAAGAGCATTATAAGGTACAGAAGGTTTCAGTACCTTGCCCAAGCTTAGGCAGCCAGTAAGTGGTAGAAATAGAATTTGAAAATTAGAGTCAACACAGACCATAGTGACCGAGGTTGGAACAAAGCACGTGGTGTAATAGGGAGAGAGCATGGGTTTGAGCACAAGAGGTGGCCAAAGGGATTGACACAAAGACTGCAGATTGGAAAAGGCAATTGGAAAAAGCCTTCTCTAGGGAATGTGTCCTTTTACTCCTGTGAGTAGAGGCCATGTCCTATCTCTGTGCCTGGGCACAGCCTGATACATGGAAGAAGGCTCTCAATACATGTTTGAGGAGTGGATGAACAAACGAAGAGATGAATGAGTCTGCCTGAGAGGGCCAGATTAGGAGCTGATACTTTCTGTGTCACTGTTTGGCACTTCCTTACAACAAGACAAATTCCACCTGCACAGATGTAGACTAGATCTGAGAAGCCAGGACTCAATGAGAAGCCAGGACTCAAAAGGTCATCTGTCTCTGTCCCCTCGACTCCACCAGGAATGGGGCATGGACCCCGTGGTCATCGTGGGCCCTGTGCAGCACCTCCTGTGGGATTGGATTCCAGGTCCGCCAGCGAAATTGCAACAACCCTGCTCCCCGTCATGGGGGCCGCATCTGCGTGGGCAAGAGCCGGGAGGAGCGGTGAGCTAGGGTGTGGCTGGAAGTCTGTGAGGTTCCTGACTTGCCAGGCTCTCTAGAAAGTGGCCTGGATGGTTCAGATGATCCAGTGGACCTTTGTCCTTCCCAGGCTTGCACTGCCAGTGACCTCTTATTAGGGAAGGGGGTGCTTGCTCCCTAGAGTGCTGGCTACTGCCCCCACAAACCCTTCTTCCCCAGGTTCTGTAACGAGAACACACCGTGTCCCGTGCCCATCTTCTGGGCGTCCTGGGGCTCCTGGAGCAAGTGCAGCAGCAACTGTGGAGGCGGCGTGCAGTCGCGGCGTCGAGCCTGTGAGAACGGCAACTCCTGCCCCGGCTGCGGCGTGGTGAGGGCCGGGGCGAGGGCGCGTGGCGAGCGGCGGGACAGGAGACCTGTAGCTGAGGGGAGGGCAGGCCAGGGATGGGGCTGCACAGCTTTGAAGCAGCACCCGCTCCCATCTCGCAGGAGTTCAAGACGTGCAACCCAGAGGGCTGCCCCGAGGTGCGGCGCAACACGCCGTGGACACCGTGGCTGCCGGTGAACGTGACTCAGGGCGGGGCGCGGCAGGAGCAGCGCTTCCGCTTCACGTGCCGCGCGCCCCTGCCCGACCCCCACGGCCTGCAGTTTGGCAGGAGGCGGACCGAGACCAGAACCTGCCCAGCGGACGGCTCGGGAGCCTGCGACACAGACGGTACTGCCTCGTGCCTTCCCCACCCGCCACCCTCCTTCCCAAGCCCAGAGCGATGGGCAGGTGTGTGTGTCGGGTGAGGGCGGAAGGGGGGGTGCTGGGAATGAAAGCCGGTAGGCGGGGATCTTAGGGTTGGGGGCAGCCAGTGGCAGGCGCGGTTTGGAAGAAGGCCTGTTGGGGACGCTCATGGCTGAGGTTAGACCCCCCACCCCCAGCCCTGGTGGAGGATCTCCTGCGCAACGGGGTCACCTCCCCGCACACAGTGAGTGGGGGCTGGGCGGCCTGGGTCCCGTGGTCGTCCTGCTCCCGCGACTGCGAGCTGGGTTTCCGCTTCCGCAAGAGAACGTGCACCAACCCGGAGCCCCGCAACGGTGGCCTGCCCTGCGTGGGCGACGCCAATGAGTACCAGGATTGCAACCCCCAGGCCTGTCCAGGTAACCCTGCGCCTGGGAAATCTTGGCCCAGAGAAAACCCCGTCCCGAGCGCCCCCTATCTAGGAGATGCCCAAGCCTATTCAGGCTACACCTCATTCCCCACGGCCCTCTTCTCCCTGCCAATTATGTGCAAGGAGCCCCAGAGCATTTTGTTGCCTTATCAAGGTCACGGTAGCTACTCCCGTGCATCAGGGCCTGTTGCCCACCCTCTGCATCACTTATTTCTCCCTAATGGGCTAGCCAGGTAAGGAGCATGATTTGAGGTGGAGCTGGTTTTTGAGGTCTCCTCTGCAGCCTGCATTTCCCCCTGCCACCTCCAAGGGGATAGGAGCACTCCTGAACAGGGGGCTGTGGGAGTGGGGCAGTTGTTAAGGTCGGTGTAACCCGGGGCAGAGTGGCCTAGGCTGGGATGGAGCAGAAAACTGTCTTGGGGGCTGCCTACTCCTGCAGCCCTCCTTCACACACCCCATTCCCCTTGCAGTGCGGGGTGCCTGGTCCTGCTGGACGTCATGGTCCCCATGCTCAGCCTCCTGTGGTGGCGGCCACTACCAACGCACACGGTCCTGTACCAGCCCCGCACCCTCCCCAGGCGAGGATATCTGTCTTGGGCTGCACACGGAGGAGGCACTGTGTGCCACACAGGCCTGCCCAGGTACTGAGTGCATCTAGCAGGGGCTGGGAGCACCATGGAGCCCACCTACCCCAACTAGGGGCTCCCAGGGCAGTTAACTCATCCCAACCCACCACCCACAGAAGGCTGGTCGCCGTGGTCTGAGTGGAGTTCATGTGCCGAGGACGGAGTCCAAAGCCGCAGCCGGCGCTGTGAGGAGCTCGTCCCAGGGCCCAGCACTTGTGCTGGGAACGGCAGCCAGAGCCGCCCCTGCCCCTACAGTGAGATTCCCGGTAGGTCCTCGAGCCTGTACCTTCACACCAGCCTTTCCCTCCCTGAGCACCCAACCTCCTTTTCTTTCTGAAGTATTCTGGAGGGAGGGTGCAGGATGAAACATCAGGGGGAGGTGCCCACACTTCGGGCATTTGCCACTTCTCCTCCGGCTGACCCTCCTTCGAGGTCGGGTCTAGGTCAAGACAGGGGAATGGAGGCCCCCCAGGCCCAGTCCCACAGCTCAGTGCTGACCCAGGGGTCTCCCCAGAAGCACACGTAGCTCTGGAGTAGCCCCTTTCCCCTCCTCCCTGTTGCTAACAGCCTCTCCACTTGTCTTCCTGCAGTGATCTTGCCTGCCTCCAGCGTGGAGGAGGTGACTGGCTGTGGAGGTAAAAGGGACCTGCTCCGCTCACACTGCTGTCCTTCTACCCCTTAACCTCAAGGCAGACCCCCACCTACCCTGAGATCTGTAGTCTCCACTTCTTGCTCCAGACACATAACTCTTATTGAGGCCCCCGCTGCTTTAGACTATGTAAGAGGGTCTAGGCAGTTCTCGCCATGCCTCCCGACTAGAGGACAGTGGTGAAGTCTGTATTCAGAAGGACTCACAAAACTGCACACCCTCTGGTCCCTTCCACTGACCCAAGTCACAGGTGGTCCCTTGAGAGAGGCTTCTGGGAGCAGGCTGCCCAGCCTCCCTTTTCTGTTGGCTCTGGCCTCAAAGCCCTTTCTCGTCTGTTTCAGTGCCTCCTTTTGGGAGGCAGTGGGGAGTCTCTCCCCTTCACAATGGCCTTTTCCTTACTGCTTGCCTCTTCGTCTCCTAGGGTTCAGTCTCATTCACCTGGTAGCCACGGGTGTCTCCTGCTTCCTGGGGTCTGGGCTGCTCACCTTGGTGGTGTACCTGTCTTGCCAGCACTGCCAGCGCCAGTCTCAGGAATCCACACTCGTCCATCCTGCCACTCCCAACCACCTGCACTACAAGGGTGGGGGCACCCCCAAGAACGAGAAGTACACACCCATGGAGTTCAAGGTGGGAGCCCTCTGGGAGAAGCAAAGGGCTGGGTGAAGGGTGCAGTGGTTCTGGCCCTAAACAGAGCATAAGGCATAACTGCGCTGGGCACTTGGGAGGGAATGGTGGTGGTGTGAGCAGGACACTGTGTCAGCCCCAGAATGTTCCTTCGTTGGCTGCTTTCTGATCTCCATGCCTTGGCTTGTCCCCTTTGCCCATCTCTCCCTTCACCCCTTCCTCTCTGGTTCCTTCCTTCTTCTCCCATAGACCCTGAACAAGAATAACCTGATTCCTGATGACAGAGCCAACTTCTACCCACTGCAGCAGACCAATGTGTACACAACCACCTACTACCCAAGCCCACTGAACAAACACAGCTTCCGGCCCGAGGCCTCACCTGGACAACGGTGCTTCCCCAACAGCTGATACCACCGTCCTGGGGACTTGGCTCCTTGGCTTCTGAGGCACAGAACAGGTGGAGCTGGGACAGTGGAGCCAGTTCAGTGTCCTCCCTCTGCACTAGGCCAGGAACTTGCTGCCTGGCCTTGTGGGGGTCCCATCTGGTTTGAGACAGCTCTCGTTGACAGTGACCATGGGGGAGAGGGCTGGCCTTGGGCTGGCACAGCTGGGCCTCTCATGGCTTCCTTGTGACCCACCACCATGCTGGTCTCCCCTGCCATGTCTGCACTCTGGACCTAAAGGCCGTGTGAGCAGTTGGAGAGTGGAGATGACAGAAAGGCAGACTCTTAGGTTTGGGTTGGAAATGGTGGCCTGTGTGGCCATCACAAGCCAAGTCTGCCTCTCTCTGGCTGGCCCCAGGAAGGGCCTGGCTACATCCTGATTATCTCTGAAAGCTACTAATCAAATGGCCCTGGTAGCTCTGGATTCTCTGCCCAGGGCTGAGCCATTGTGATGCTGCCCCAGTGTGGCATGGGGACCAAGCTTGGCCCAGGTCTCTGCCTTTGCCTAGCAGTCTGTACTTTGCCCAGGGACATCCCTGTGGTCAGAGGTGGTGAGGACTGGGGACTGGAAACTGATCTTTGCTGAGAAGCCCTTTAATCTGGGCTGGCACAGGCAGCTTTGCCTGAAAGGTGGCCCAGGATAAAGGGAGGCAGAAGTCCAGCTTCCAAGCTGCTGTGGAGGCTGTCTTCTATGTGCTGCTCAACATAGCTGTTGGCTGAGATCTGCTTGGGAGTCTCTGCTGGCCTCTCATCTGTTCAGGAGTGCACGTACACACGCAATGCCATCTGCTACAGCAGCAAGAGGGATGTCGGGCTGTGGCATTATTAATTAAAAATGATAACCAGTCTCCAAATGTAACGTTGTCTTCATGCCTGTGTGTGTGGGCTCCTCTTGGCATGGCCTAATCAATCAGAGTGATGCCTGAGAGGTGCTAGATGGTCTTCTCAGGCTGGAGGAAATGGTCCGAGTAGGGTTGACTTGAATAGTGGGTGTCTTTCCATTTGTGAGTATATGTACACACATGTTGCCGTAAACCCTTTTTGGGAAAGAGATTAGGAGCAAATTCACAAGTAAGGACACAGGATACACCAAAGGCATCATCGCAGGAGAGGTTTCTGTCTGTTCCCTTAGCACCCTGCCAGGCAACAGCTCCAAAGGGGAAAAGTGTGAGTCCAGAGCAGATGATTGATGAGGGTTATTTTATGAGGTATTTACAATGCTGAATTTAATAAAACCAAAATTGATTGAGAAATGAGTAAACCTGTGAGGTGGGGGAAGCCCAGTATAGTTTTTCCGGGATTAAATAAAGATAACCTTGAAGCCTCAACCCACCAAATCAGTGCTACCATTTGGGAGGAGATTGATGGGCATGTTAAATTTAGAGAGCAATTTCCTGGCTCAATTGAGTAGATCAATTCTCATAGGATTCCTAACAAAATCTCATAGGTCAGGCTGCATAGCCTGTGATCCTGCTGGTGAGGAGGAGGAAAAGCACATTTCCCCCTCCCCACCCCATGTGTCCGGAGTCCCTGGTTCTTACTGGGACAACTGAGATGGCAGTGTCCTCAGGCCAGCATGGAGCCCAGTCAGAGAGAGCTCAGGGGACACAGGAGAATTTCCACAGCTAGGTGCCTGTTAGCCTTATATGAGTCCAGAGCTTGTGGGGGGATGTGGAGGTATGTTAGATCTTGGGGTCTCTGATGCTCTAAGATCTGGGAGAGCCAGAGAAGTTACAGGGAATTCGAGGGCCTAGGGTGCCTGCTTCACAAGGGCCGCTAATGTATGTCCAAGGGGAAAGACTAGCCAGGTCTGTACGAAGCAGTAATGGAGAGTTTCCAGGTAATGCCCACTCCCTGTTGACTAGAATGGCATCTGCAGGAAAGGAAAGCTGTGGATACCATGGCAAAATACCACACACATACACAGAATTGTCTTGATAAAAATGGTTGCTCTGGAGGCATGACCGCTTGGAAGTATGAAGGAATCTATGCTGCATGAAGGTTAGCTTGCATGATTAGCAAAGGCTGCTCCCAAACCAGGGCTGGCCCAGAGATGAGGAAGCTCTGGCAGGTGCTTGAGGCCCCATGGATGAGTGCATGGTGTCCGGAAGCTGTGGTGTGGAAGACAAGACTCTGCAGGAAGGTGCAGGCCTCCTTGGGTCTTCCTGTCTTAGATTGCTGTGCATGTGTGTGTATTTCCTTACTAAAGTAATAAGTTTCCACTGCAGAAATTTTACAGGATACAGGAAACCAAAAATGCAATCACAGTTATATTAAAAACGAAAGCTCTTTCACTATTTTCAATAAAACTACTATGTATCTGTAATCTCATAACACGTGAAGATGGAAGCAAAGGAAGGAACAACAGTCATCCAATGGAGTGGATCCAGGTCAAACCTAAGCACTCAAGCAATTTTAGAAAGAACCAGAAATTGGAGGAACAAAATATCAAGGAGGGTGGAGTTAAGGTGGGAGCCTGAAAATGAGGGGTTGGTTGAAAACCTGTGTGTTAAGCTTCGGCTAGACCCTCAGGTAGTCTTCACTCTCCACACTGAAGCTAGGCCATCACTCCTCTGTCTCCCCTGAAGGCAAGAAGTATGTTCCCTCGAAATTAAATCAGAGAGGCCCTGGACATGGGGATTACCAGCCGCAGAGGTGGTGTGCGCTGGCAGCCTATTTGGATGACTAGGGAGCTTAGACACAGACCCCGTGATTATCAGGGTTATTTAATAGCTGCCTTGTCCAGCTGACTGTAAGACTGGAGCAGCCAGATTTCTCTCCATCTTTTTACTTTTTTCTGCTGTCATATTTTCTAATTTCTAAGAGCTTTAATTTGTTCTTTTATTGCATCCTATTCTTAATTCATGAGTACAACATCTTCGCTGATTCTGAAGAATTATGCTGTCTTTGAAACGCTCTTCTCTGTATATACTGTCTCTTTTCACTGAGTTCCTCTTTTTCTGTTTACTTGTTTTGGTCCATCTTTCATGTTGGTGCCTTTTCTCTGATGTCTGTGATCCTTATCTGCCCATTCCTGCTTAATAGTGAAGCGCTAGACTTGGTGATGGGGGAAGTCTAGTAACCATAATGTCGCTCATGTAATTGTAGATTAATGATACTGAAAAAAAAAAGTGAAGCACTAGAAGCTGCCTTCAAGCTCTGTCAATTGGACACTTGGGCACTGCTTCTTAATGAGCAAACTTCACTGTGGGTCTGTTGCACAGATGACTAGCTGGCTTATCTGTTCAGAATCCCTAGGTTTGGTTTGTTTTTTCAAAGAATCATCTTGCAATCTCCTGCCTGGTAACAACATGCCCCCTCCCTTGAATAAGAGAAAGTTCAGTTTTTACATATTTCATTCGTTTATACCACTAAAAAGGATTACTTTGCAAAAGTTTGCTTAATAGTTGAGAAATCCTGACCTAAAATATTTCTATTATGTATTCTATTTCTATTATATACATTTACTCTAATCTTATAAAAATTTGATATATGATTCTACTACATAAATCTGTCAAAATTTATTTGAACCATTCTCATTTGTTTCAGTATTTGTTTTTTACCTAAGAATACTATTACGGATCTTCTTATCCATATCTCTGACTATGTCCTTAGGATAAATTTCCAGAAGTAAAGACTCTTAGCTTCTATGGTGCAGGAACCTGGGAAAATGTCCCACCTGCAGTGAATTCTCATTTGATTATTACTAACCCTGATAGCTAATGCTGCTAACACTATCCCCTCCAACACAGTGCTAAATGCTGTGCCCTGACACCTTATTCAGTTCTCACAATAATGCTAAGAGGAAGGTACTATAATGTCCAATTTACAGATGAGAAAACTGAGGCTTAATAAATCTGAATGACTTGCCCAAAGTCACACAGCTATCAGTGAGGAAGCTAGAAGTACAATCCAGGCAGTCCATGTGTTGTTATCAATTTGATTTTTTTTTTCTTTTCAAAAAAGCACAACTTAATTTTTTTAAAATTTATTGAGTTGCACACAATAAAATGCACAAACCTTAGTGTACAACTTGATGAATTTTGACATATGTATAGACTCATGATGATCCATTGCTCAGATCATGATATCAAACATTCTCCAAAAAACACAATTGTTTAAATTTTCATTTAAAAATATTTAGTGAGTGACCATTTCTTCCCTATACATATTGGCCATTTGTATTTTGGCTTTTTAAGAAAGTTATTCTGTACCTTTCTCTTAGGTGGTCATATTTCCCCTATTGCTTTATAGATCTTAATATAAGAATATATCGATAGCAAAATAAAGTAAAATAAAATAAATATATAAGAATATATCAATTCCTGCTGAAAAAGATTTGAATTGATCCTAAATCCTATGCCTGCTTTGAAGCACAGATGTTTGAATATTTTACATAGTCAGAACTACTGATTTTTTTAAAACATGAGAATTGTGTTGATTTTGCATGAATGCCCCTAAAGTAATGAATCTCCTGCTCTCATAACACCATGAATCTCAAGAATGTAGACTTAGGGGACACATTTCTCCCCTGCATACCTTGTATAGTGGCAGTTACCCTAAACAAGCAAAGACAGAGGGAGACCAGTTTGGGATTTGACTTAGGAGAGCCCACATTCTTATGCTTCTCAGAGGAAGAATGGTACCTAACAGTGAGAAAAAGAAAGTGTGGGCAGAGACGTTCACTTCTCTGAAAGAAGGAAATAGAGTGGAACCCTTCTACTATCACAGCAAGTGAGGTTTGGATAAGGGGAAAAAAACGGGGTTCCTCTCTTGGGCAGTAGAAACTGGCCATAGTGGCGGACTGTTATGCAGACCCAGAGTCTCAGGCAAGCTTGATCACAGCCGAGTCTCTGAGCAGGTCAAATGTAACACCCAAGCACCCAAGGTTAGGAGCCCATTGATGGCGCAAGGAGATGATCTCCCCACACTTCCAGGTCAGGGCAGTGCTGTTGACAGGAGGGCAGCCCCGAGGGAAGGTCAGGTCTTCTCCAACCAGATGCTGGCTGCCAAGCCCTGGTTCCAAAGTCATACAGCACAACTGCAGCCTCTACACTCAAAACTGACATTTAGTTAGACTTGGTACATATCGTCTTGGGGGACAGAGGATATTGACCCAAACCTGCTTTGACAGCCAGCAACAGAAAGACACCTATTCCAGTGGCGCCCATTCTGAGTGCTCGCCACTGGGGGAATGGGTGTTGGACAGAATGCCAAGAGCTCAACGTCTCTGGCTTTGCGTCTCACCAGCCGTGGAATCTCAGCAGTCTCTTCCCCACATTGGGTTACAGTTTTCTGGCCCATGTATTGGCAGTATTGGGCCCAGGGTCCCTGCCCAATTCTGTGATTCCCAAAGCTTTGGGAAAAGCCTGGACATGGTACTTTTCCCCCCTGCTCAGGGCTGGGTCATTTTCCGGGGAAATCAGACTCCTTGAACCACCTGTTCTTACACATAACCTGGGAAGATGTCTTCCACAGAGGGCCAACTGGATGAGTATTTTCTCCCGGAATTGCAATTTTTAATAGGGGAGCCTCTGGTAGAGAAGATATCCAGGCATTAATACCAAACAAAAGGTCACTTGCCTTGGTCTAGAGCCCCATCAGTTCCTAAAACCTGATGCAAACCCTGAAGACAGTCTTTCAAATGGTTGTCTCTGTAGCTCTGGGCCTGAGCACAAGGCCCAGCTGCTTCTGTCCCAGCCTGACCCTCTGCTCAGGTCACACTGTGGCCTCTAGCTGCACCACTAGGTCACCTCTGCTGATTCCCCGAGGCACCCCTACAGGCCAGCCCGAGGGGACTTAGGCAAAGCCTCTCTCCTCATCCTGAGCTGCCCACAGGACACGAAGTGCTTGGTAGGCTGGGTGTCACTTCCATGTCTGTGTTGATCTGCTCTCAACTACAAGGGGCTCCGGCCTCAGGGTCCAGATACATGACTCTGAAAGTTAATGGGAAATTCATCCCTATGCATGAGGTCTTTCCAAATACCCTATAAGGTAAACATTTTCTCCAGACTGTACCCCAGTGTCCAGGGGCTGATGGGACTCAGCACCCCTACCATATTGGACATGCCTAATCATCTCTGCCCACCATGGAGCAGTCCCAAACACAAAAGGCTACACTTGCCCACCCGTGGGTGAGTCCCCAGCATGCAGCCCTAGCCCTCTCCTGCTGCCCTGCTCTACCAGGCATAGCCAGGTAGCATGGGATTCCTGCCGACCATCTGCAGCCTTGACCACCAGTGTTTCTCTCCTTGAACATAAGGTCACAACTTTCATTTAATATATTTTTCTATTAATTTTTTTACTGAGAATAGATAGCAAGCATTTTAAAAGAATACATGGAAGGGGTAAAAAAAAAAAAAAGAGAAAAAGAATTGAACAGCACAAAAGGAATATGATGACAGGTGTCTCCCATTCTTGATTCCTGGGCCTCAAGTTCCCTTTCCCTGAAGCATGTGTATATCTGATTATGTATATGTACATAACATGCACCAAAGTTGGGCCTTGACCTTGACATTTAGCCAAAACTCTGTGAATTGGCCTTAAACATCAGCTCTTGAAAGTCTAAATAGCTGAACGTGTACTTCATCATCATTTATAGTTCCCCTGAGCTTGTGCCTGAACTGCAGTCATGGTTACATAGTTACCATTATATCGAATCAGCACATCAACTCCGGTGGTATGCACAGGGAGCATCACTTTGATTTATTGTTAATAAATGATGCTAGAAATGTCTAGATGAATCTTGAAGTGAAAATCTATGCTTCATATGTTAAAATCCTATTCGTCACTGAAACTATGTATGTACATTTAGTATTATAATGAGTAAAATGCCACAATAATTGATGATTGTGAAAGCTACTAATTTTATGTTCAAACCAAGTAGGCATATTAAAACAGCAAATAGGAAAAAGATGAGTTAAAAAGAATATTGAGAGAGAATGATACCTAGATAACTTTAGGAAGAACATTACAGTCTTTGTGTGAGTCAACTGGTGTTAAACAATTTTAAATAATGTGGAGGCAGAATAACATAGAGTTAGTTAAATTATAATTCTAATATTTGTTGACTGGTTTGGTGTCTATCTAGCATGTTAAATAGCAAAATAACCTTTTAAAAATTATGTTTAATTTTTGGCATTTAATTCTGTTTAGGTTATCTTCCCAGAATAAATCCTATTTGGGAATTCACAATTTAAGAAAAGGGATTTTAAAAAAGAACATCAGTTTTCCTACTTCATTTCATAAGCAGAAAAAAAACCCAAATCATGTATATTATGTAATATTAATTATTGCATATGATGAATATTTTTTGATCTTTGAGCTAGACAGAATGAATAATGTAAAGAAATGGAGAAAAGAAAAAAGTTCCAGGGAATTTAATATCCAAAAAATATCAGGTTTCTCTACTGTTCTGAGTGAAGTGAGCATCTGCTTTGACCATTAGCAATTTTAACAGCAAAATTATAAGAATAATTTCATTATTTGGAGTGAAATTTCAGATTAATTCTTGCATCCCAGAAGTTTTTGTCTGTGATGGTGATACCTGGCTCTGGCCTTAACTTTAACTCAGTATTGGCTGTAGCATTTGTCGCAGCCGTGTGTTCCTGGCAACACCAGAGCCTGCCTGCAGGCTCCAGCTGCCCACGGACCCCACCTAACAATCGCACCACCATTTATTTAACCAAATCCCTAATGATGGACTTTAAAGATGGCTTTTTTGTTGTTGTTAAAATGTTGCAAAGACTATCCTTGGATGTGTACAACCATAACTAGGCAGAATTAATTCCTAAAAATGCCCAAAGAGTATAGACATCCAACATTTTGATAGATTGTAACATCATATCATACCTAATTTTATCTGTTTCTCTCTTTCAGAGGTAATTCTCCAGTTTTAGCAGTTGGGCTCATTCTGGGGGAAAGAGAGTCAGTCAAGGTGATTCTAGTGTCCCTCCATCCTGAGGAGCTCCCTTCTTCCCTGCATCCCCCAGGCACCAGGTCAAACCCTCATGAGGGACCCACCACACTTTCTTTGTCCCATGCCCTGTGTCCTGAGTCCCTGTTCTCTGAAAAGCCAATTGGATAAGTAGGTTCCAGCATCAGTGTAAATGGCCGACAGTGCATTATAATGAAGGATTCTGAGGCCTAACCTCAAGTGATGCTGGGCTTCCAAGAACCATCTCTGACATTTGGGGCAGAGGGATTCCCAACATCCTTGGCCTTGAAGCTGCCTGGATGCAATGACCTCCTTCCTTCCCCTTCTTTCCTTATTTCAGGCAAAAGGCCTGAGTTTCCTGGAATTCCTCCGTGACCCCTCCTGACCCTTGACTTCTGGTACTTTCACCTGGGCAAGAAGCAGGGTCTCTCCTGCTGCTTAGGGCATCTTTTTGGACTTCCAAAGTTTCTGTGTTCCCTTGATTTTCATTTTAATATCTGTATAGGACCATGGTCTCTAGATAGTGATACAAATGCCATTATTTCAACTTGA